TCCTTCGCCAAAACTCACCGTCAACCTATCCTGTGACTTCCGGACAACTGCGTTGTATCATCCAAGCAGCGTATCACCACGAAGCTCTACGTCAATTGAGAGAATTCGGATCCACAGAGCACGTGGTTAAGGAGAGAGAGACACGTTTGGAGAGAGTCATCCGTCCACATGGAGGAGGGCTCAGTGTCCCTCCTTCGCACGCTTCCCACCCTTATGATTGAAATACCGTCAATTCTTAGACATGGGATATCCGATTCTGTTACTATAATTAGGAGAGTCCAAGACCCGATAGTATCTTCAATGGTATAGATTTGTGGACAGTCTCTGTTTCCCGCCCTCGCTTGCACGTGAACGTCATCAACTGATGCTGCCGGCAGACTTTGTCGTAGCCTCAGGAATCGGAATTTCAGTCGGATTCATTGAGCCCTGCAAAACGAAGCGTCTGATTGTTGTTCGGTGGAGACGAGCTTTGTTTTCGTGTTTCTTCTCGCTCGCGCTCATGCTCGGCGTCTTCAGTACGAGTGCGCTGTTTACATTGCTCGTGCCTGCCATTCCACGTTGCCCGGGGCGCAGATAAGGCCTACTCTAAGAGTGAGAGACCACTGCCGCGCGGTATTATGGGGAGCGATGGCTGAAAATAAGTAATACCCTCCTCTAAAGGCTCACAACGTCCCCGTGACGGAAACAGCGAGGTATCACGTCATTTTTTCACAAGCGCGAGATTCGTCCCAGACTCCAAGTCGTTCTTTCGTTGTGACCTCGCAGACTTCTTGGGTTACAATCGACTCCCATAGTATGTTGAATGGCGCCTCAAGTCACTCTCCCACGATATTTCGTTGCTCAAAATCAACGATTCCCGATTGAGTTCCTCGATAATCAAACTCTCATTCACCGTCGACGCATGCATCTCTCACAAGCATTGACGGAGGCTTCGGAGTGATCTCGAGAACGTCGATCGCCGAAGCCTGAAATGGCTAGAGGGGAACATAGGTCTTGCAGTCTGGCGACAAAAAAAAGCAAGAAGCTAGGTAATGTCAATGACGTTACCGTAGATTCACGTGAAAACGTTTAATGACGATTTTTCCGGCAAGCGGTCGACTTGCCGAGGTGTCAAATCATGGCAAATAGACCTATCTCTCTATCGGCCCACGGAATCGGGGTTAGTTTTCATGAAAGCTTGGTTTGTGCCCACTGATTGCCCGACGGGGCTGCGATATTCAATCATTCTACGAGAGATGGTTTCCGTGGTTCGAAGGCATCGATACTTCTCCTAAATCCCGTGTGCATAATCATCGAAAACTGCGCCAGCTATCGAGTTTTGGAAGTTTTTCCGCTTCACGAATCTAGAATCGAAAGCCACACCTATCTACCCATTGTAGTCCTTGGGCTGCCGAAGTAGGAAGTCCTTTCGGACCCTCACTGCGGCTTCCTCGACGAATCCGCTGAGATACGACGATTGGTGAATGTTGTTGGTCTTCAGTTCGACATATAGCGCGTGGTCATCATCATCCAGGGAACGCAGTTAAGTTTGAGCCTTGCTTTTGACGTGAAGGGGACATCGATATGATAAGTAATCATATGATAAGTTTGAGCTGAGTTTAGCTTCTTGAAATAACATTTGTGTCCCTATCGGGGGAACATCAGCCGAGTGTTGTGCAATGGAGGCCTTGACAATCTCCGAATGCCGCAGAAAGCGGAGCCTCTCATCCACCTTACAAGCATGGCGGTACACGTTTTGGAGGGAGACACGCCGGAATTGCAGAGTTTCGCGTTCCCATGCAGCAGTGTATTAAGGATATCGCATGATTCTGTCATCATGTAGGAATTCAGATCCCACTGTACCGGATTCGATCGCGACCGCGGCATTTCTGACAACGGCGACCTTCGGAGCCAGAGCCGAATTCGACTCTTGATCAGTCGTCCCATGAAGAGATCCTCCCGATTCCCGATGACAGCCTAAATCTGTTGACACAGCACGACGAAGTACCTTCTGTCGCCAGGAGCTCCATTTAAAGGGTCTCATCTAAGGTCGATAAGCTCGACTCGCCTCAAGTCAGGAGAACTGCTTGGTTTTCTGGGAAACCTTCGTTGTTCATCCCAGCAAATCATAATCATGATCGAAGCCCAACTCGATCTCGATTTTGGCAATTTTCATCGAATAATCAGAAGCCCTTAGGTTCTCGCTCTTATGTGTCTGCTGCCTTCTGTCGGGCTCTGACTCGCCGACCTCGCCTTATAGAATTCCCTTCGATAGACTGACGGACTATGCCATAATTCGCGCTTATTTTTACGCTTTCGTGCCGAATCCAGGGGTATGTGGGAAGTAAAGTGTACAAATCGATTGATAGATCTGCCTCGCGAAAGATTGCACCTCGAGACTTTGCCGTAAATTTTCAACCCAATGATGCAGTTCGGATAATCCAAAACTCCGCAGTTTCCGAATAGTAAGGTTCCAAAAGCGGACAAGATTTCGATGCTTGGAGGACGAAGTACATCGAATTGGTCAGCAAAGCCTGCGACAAAGACGTTTCCACGTCAAAACAATCTGGCGGAGATCTCTTTCAGGATCGTCCGGCAGAATTGTACGATAGGCCGATCGAGTCATGAATCCACTTGGAGGAGACATTGCCTACCAACTCCCCCTCTTCCCTTCACCGCGTGGAGCCCGCGTATCGCTTCACCAGGATCGGAGAGGTCCCTGGTCCGCTCCTCGTCCGATCGGGGATTATCTCATCCAATACGCTCGAACGAGTGATCCCTAACGACGGAAGCTGTATCGAGCTGAGCTCGTAAGATTCTTCTAGACTGATTCTGAGAGCGAAAATCATCGCCGGGTTCGTAATTTTCGGTCTTCTTGTCGCGATTTCCAGTGATTTCACTGCCGGGATATGACCCGCCTCGGTTGTCTGGTCTTTCGTCTTACCGGAGCTTCACCGCCAGCGGCGGCGGGCATCGGATATGAACGGAGGAGAGGAAAGGCATACATACATGCCTCTGACCGTATACCACCGTCTATTCGACTGCAAGGCCCGCTCAGTTTCGCCCTGGGGCCGGAATCGATTTCATCTCTATAACAGGATTATTGCTGACACAAGAGTCGGATCCATCGAGTGTGGGGCTCACGTCCGACTCAAACTCCACTCCCTCCATTCCTTGCGAGTGTTTATGGTTTGGATCCCGCTCCAGTCATCGGGCTTCAGAGAGGATTTCCACCATTGAGACGCGAGCTTTCAAAACTCGCCAACCGAGTCACTTCGAGAAGGCCTAACGCCTCACACTGCATAAACTCGTTTCGTTGAATTCTCGATGCTCAGTAGCGAAGCGATTCCGAAAAAGCGATTCTGTGATGTGGTAGCTCGTCTTCGACAACATCGCTCTTCCATGTTGTTCCTGTGAGCGAGGGACCTGAGTAAACGCGCTGCTTGTTGCAATACAGGTTCGTCAAGGAAATTGTCAATATCCGTTGACACGGTCGACATTGCCATATTGGGATAGCTGTACTATGCTCTCCCGATAGAAACTCGGCCTGCTGTCATGAGTGGCTGCGTGAGAATGGCTTCACAAAAGCTTTGCTCTCGGCTTTTGCATCTCGTTGGAAACGGTCGCCGACCAGACGATTGTGCGCACTTCTTTCAAGATGTCACTCGACGGGCGATCCCAACATATATGTTGAGGACTGAGCTTTCGGAGGAATTGCGCTTCCGCTCGAGCATGACTATCGTCGTCCGGTCGCCAGACAATAGTCCAAGGGGAGCACGAGAGAAAAAATCAATCGTGAGATGGGACACTCCACGAGGTCGAGCGATACTTCCGAGAGATATTTTCTCAAGAGACAGATGTTTCCCCGCCGCAAGCGACTCTTCGGAGGCGCGGAATGAGCACGATCATAGGAGCTTTCGCGATTAATTTGATCGACATCGCTCGATGCGATTTCGATCCTGATCGGATCCTGCTGAGTGCAGCGACGGGCGAATCCGGAATTCCGAGAGATGGGTAGCTGCCGTCGTGCGTGCTTTCAAGCATATCTCTTCTTTCTGGGGGTTTCTATTCGTCCTCGTCGTGTTTGAATAATAGTCGGCTCCACCCATTTCATTAAACGACTTAAGTATTATCTAGTCGTCGAGGCCGAGAGGAGCCTCTCTCGTAAGCTCCCGTTACTTCGCGATCCCTCTGACGACACGGGAGGCATCGTGGATTCGGTGTGAATGGAAAGTTCTCATCAAGGAACGTCGCTGAGAACGGATCTCCGACTTCTTGGAACGCGGGTTTCTTTCTACAAAAAAGCGCTGCCGATCAGAAGCTGCGAAAAATCGTAACTATGGACTTCATCTGATTCATTCGCCGTGAGCTGCAAATTATGATCGTCGAGAGCGTTCCCCGGGACGGAGCCCACAGAGTGATCTCCGCCAAATAATGGAGTAGAGGCAATTATAATCCCTGCTCCGCTGATGCTTGATTCGGGCAAATCTTCAAGATTTTCGAGGCCTAAGTTCCCAGTGAGTTGAACCACGTGATGGGGAGAGAATAGGATCACTCGCCGAGTGTGCTTTGTTGGTGTCGCGGAAATGTTTTCACTCAAAACACGCCACTCACTCAGAAACGTCCAGATTCTCATTCCCTGCGCCGGAGAGACCCGGCCCGGATCCCTGGGCTCCTTGTGCCTCGATCGCATCTCAACTCCGTAAGAAAACATCTGGAGGAACTCTAGTCCGACTCTCCCTCCTACGAGTCCACGCCGCTAGTCCTGCGCGGACGATGCTGACTCGCAATAGGTGTCTCGGAGGAGCATCACTGTGCTCGAAGTCTGCCGAGCATCGAGCGCCCTCTATTTGAGCTTCTCCACGATCTTTATATGAACGTTTATTCCGTTTAGATCTATTCGAGGGTTCCGGGAAATGGATGGAGTATTTACAGAGATGGATGAAACTCAGTGGAGTCGTGGGAGATAGGACTAACTCCGCTGGGGACTCGGTTCGAACAGAGATCGATTTTTGGCACGATCACAGTCCACAATGCTTGATTTCCGGGATGATCTTATCGGCTGTAACGGATTTCAGCGTCTCGTCTGGTCGAGAGGGCCCAGGATGCGAGATCTTGGCGAATATATATTTATCGAGCGCGTATCCTGGCGCTTCGAAGAGTAGGAACAGGATAAATGAAAGGACGTAGCCGTAAACCGCATCAGCTGCCGTATCCCGGATCTGGGAAGAACACGAAACCTGGCTTAGTTAGACGCATGAGGCCCGCCGTGCGATGGAGTTTCAGGGAGGACGATATCCATCCAGACAAGAAAATCTCGAACAAAAAAACGAAGGTCTCGCTTACGTTCTGCGTGTATGTGAGGGGAACGGTATGTGTCGCTGAAAAATTCTTTATCATGATGAGGACAAGGCTGACCATGTAAAAGCAGCAGGACAGTCGGCCTAGGATGACAAAGTTCGAGCGGTTCAGAATCCAACGAATCGGTTGGCCGCCTCCAGCCGCACACGCGTACACTACCCACACAACGCACAGGGCCCAAACTGGTCTGTGGAGACCTCCGTAGATCATGCTTTCTGTCGTGGAGATGACTCCGGATTTCTGCCAAACATAAATCGCTGGAAAAAGGGAAACGTTTAAGCCGGGTCGCGCAGAAGACTTCCGTTACCGATTGGGCGAATTCTGAGGGTGAGCAGAGAACTCACCGAACAGGAGAGCATTGGCCACGATTGTAGTAATTGTCCAGCCGAACACGAAAAAATATTTGGGGAACTTCAAGTTCCGGTGGTGTTCGATCAGGTAACCCCCGAGGATGCCAACACAAACCCCTGAGAGGTTGGTGAAGGCTTGAACATGGATGTGCAGGTTATAGTTGACGAGCTGCAAGGCGGAATACGTTCTTTCCGAGCTGCTCGGCTGTGCTAGCTGCCTGGAGTATACATATCTCTGCGATTCGCTCAAGCATACCTTGAGGAATTGCCGAGGCAACAAGACGAGGCCTGGGGCCGCGTCGTATGCGTAGATGAGGTGAATGGTGTAGATAACTCCGCTGAGTGCCATCAGAGCCACTACTGTAAGTCCCCTCTTGGGTTTTGTAGCGATGAGGATGACGGGGAAGAGCATTATACACAGGATTTGCATATCCGCCGCCATGTACCTTCAAAGATATGGAATTTGTATGCCTTCTCGCATTACCATGATGCAAACTTTCTAGACTTCGAAGGGAACGACCATTTTGAAACAACCTCCACTCATATCCAACGGTCTGCTCACCATAGGTGCGGGAGACAGCTCTCATCGATCGCAAAGAAGTTGGTGGCGAACAACGGTACGGTCCACCATTTACTGTTGCATAGCGGGATCACGTGTTTCGTGAACAAATAATCCATTCCGGGTCCAGACGTCATCAGAGGTACCATGTACAAGAAGACGAGGCATCCGATTGCCGGAAAAATAAGCCTGAAGGCTCTCCGAAGAATCATCACCAAGCCGAACGTAGCCGTCGAGGACTATTTTAGAGAGGGGAACAGTGAGAATTCCAGATTCTTCCCGAGAATATTCTTCCGCGTTCCCATCGAGCTGCACGAGTGTGGACACCAGGTGCAGCTTGATGAAACTGTGGCCAGTTCGGTGATGAGCATTCCTCTCTCACGGGTTAGCGTCGGAGAGCGCTTTCCCCGAATTTTCCAAAGGCCTGATGGTATGTACCTTGTTCGTTCTCCATGCGTTTAGCACCGTCCGATAGATGAGAATACCGGTAATGCAGAAGAATGTCTCGACGGCGAGAAGGCCCTGACTGATCAAGCTGAATGCGGGACCCTGCAGTAAATTCAGGATTTCTTGCGGCCGGTCTGCAAAGGTGGCAAGACGGATTTGTGAATCATCGGTCTCGGCACACATCAACGGTGAACCATTGGTCGGAATCTCTCCTCTGACGCCGCCTGGTAGGAACCTATCGCTCCTAAGCTGAACCGCGTAGAGCCGATTGCTCACCATAGCGTCCCGGATCCCCGGCGAAACTGTGACCGAGCAGAATCCACAGAGCGCTCAGAACTTTGATGCCATGAATACAGTCCAGGTGCTGAGTTTCGGCGGACGGATCCGTGCTGGTGAGTTTCAAATAGGAGTACTTGGCCGAGAAGCATCGAAGTAGATGTATCGATTGTTCTGTCGGAGGAATAGGGAATAATACGTTACAAGGGGGAATCGGCGGCGCCCAGTCCCCAGCTCCCCACAAAGTGGAGACGTTCTTCAAGCGAGGCTTACGCAGTCTCGAACAGTGACGACACCGGAAATATTCCCACCGTCTCTTCCCGCTTACTCCGATATGACTCAGCGGAATCGGGGCGGACTTGATAATTGAATTGGCTAACCTTTGGGGTTGGTCGATTGGAAGTCCGCGATGGTGGCAACGATCACGATTCCGATCAAGAGAAGCAAAACCGCTCTGAGATGAAAAGGGCTCGGTTGGAACAAAGCTGTGAGCTATGGTGACTGTATGGTCATGGAACTTCCGCTCCAGACTCACCCGAGTATGTAAGTTCCGGTCGGGTATGTCGTTGTTTCTGTTGAGTCTCGACAGCCTAGCACAGTGGCACCGAGACCAAATCTCCCTCCAACTGGAATTTCCATTTCAATCGACAAATTATTCCAGCGGAAAAGCTTGGACTTATCGAAAATCGTCCGAGACAGAGATAGGATCCCGAGACTGCTCCGAGATTCCAGGGGACGGCTCACGTTTTTCCACGAAGTGCGGGATTATGCTTGAATTACACGTGGAAGGCATACAGATTCCCACGCGAAATCCGAAGGGCGACTTGTCCATCAGATCCAGAACCCATTCGGTGCTGTTACCAACGTAATGCTGCGGGAAAAGATGAGTTCTCTGTCAGAATAAGTTCCGTGCCTCATACATACCATGGAAGAGAATGCATATCGAATGGTATTTTGGTCTTGATTTAGTGAGGGCTGTCCGCAGAATTTGCGCGCGTTCGGGTCATTCGAGCTGTTCGCATCGCGGTGGAAAAGCCGTGTACCTTGCAGAAGCTGTCAATTATCTCACCTTCAACAGTGGGACCTGATCGACGATTTTCGGTGCCAGTCTGTGTACCATGGGCTGTCGCTGCATAGTCATGGATAGCGTGCAATACTTGCCGCCGGCATCGACCTATTGAATTCAAAAGGGAATGATGAAGGGAATCGTAGAGGCTGGTTCTATCCCTGAGCTAACGTTATATTTCCGTCTCCAAATGATCACTCATGTCCGGTGCTCCGAACTGTGTATGATTCCCCTGAAGATGAATGATCCGCTTGAACCGATTGTCCACTCACGATTGACGGGTCTTCTTTATTCGGGATCTCAATGGTTAAACACTCGTCGTAGCTCCCGAAAGATACCACGCGCCCCTCTGCGATATTCGGGACCGGACCCCCCGAGGCGTCGAAAACTGCGAAGGCGGGTCGTATGGTTCATTTTCGCTCCAGACTGGACCGCCCGGAGGATGGAGGCGAGTCTGAATCGGATCTAGCGTGAGCTACTCACATTTCAGAGCCCATATTTTCTGCTCTCCGAGGCCTCTCAAGATACGCGCCATGGTCTGGAAGCACTCCGTGTCGATTGCATCATCGTAGATGATTTCGTTGACAATTGGGAAAAGCTCTCTTTGTACACGTTTCATGATTTTCTCCAATTCGGGCGCCAAATCCTCGTTCCAGTGAGTTGGCCCCTCCTTGGTGAAAACCTCATGCACGATTCTGAGTGCCGAAGTTCTCAAAGTGCACGACGCTAGCAACAAGCACATCACAGTAGTCCTCATTTCGAGTCTTCAAAATTAGCAAACTAAGGAAAGCCGATAAACAATGGCATTCGACGAGAAGTCGTGCCGAGCCACTCGACAACGCGAAGTATGTTGTCCTGGAGCGACTAATACCCTCCGATCTCGGCGGGCTGAGGATCTAGTTCGGGAATGCTGGATGGAGTCGGATTCTCCAGAAGAGATTCTATCCAAGACCAGGGAGAGAAGTCCCTCGTGCCCTCGCTCATAGACCCTTCGGATCAGATGAGCAGAGAGAGAGAGACAGATCTTATCAGAAAATCGTTATCGCAGGTCGTGTCTAAATGTTCCCGTTCTTTTTCGTTGAACTTCAACAGTCTCCTTCCCCTTCTACAAAGTGAACTATAACTCGATCGAAAGCCCACCTCCATACATTAGGGCTCCTGTGTGCCGATCTAATCCATTGTCGATTTTCTGCTTTGATTTCTTTGAGCGCCCTTCATGACGCTGTCGAATCAGTGTTTTCCAGGGAAACGAGTCCCCAGAAATTTCGGGCTCGAACATGCGGTGACGGAGGGATCGTTGTTCGATAATAATAAGCGCGAATACAGATATTCGGTGCCTCGTCTCGTGGTTTATACGGAAATAACTTGTTGTTGGACGTCGCGGGCTAAGTCATCGAACGTCATATTCTCCTACGCATTAAATTCGTTTGGGCTCTCCGCGACGCGAATCGAGGTTCAGAGCTTTGGAGAGCAATTAGATATCATCAGGGATCTGTTCAGAGTAGTTTCTTCCTTCTGGCGACAGGGACCGATGTGGCTCGATGTTCTCTAGGGGATGCGTGGGGTCGCGAATGCTTACGCACAGACGGGAAGCGCGCTTCGGTAGAGAGCTGGCGCGACAAATAGCTTATGTAATGGCCCGGAATGACTCGACGTCAGACCGGCTTCATACCACCGGCCAACCTGGTGCCAATGTTCCGTTCACGTGGATTTCTCACCGCTCGTCTGAGCGCATGAGGATTTCTGATCGGGAACGTAGACACGATTCCTTCAATTGATCACTCAAGATGCTACAATAGTAGAAGCGAATATCAAATCCACTCGTCCGATCCTCCATGAAAATTATGTTTGGAGGAGCTGAAGCGGAAAACCGCTCACGAATTAATTATCGGTCTCCCAAACTTCCGCATTGTGCTATCGAGACCGCGCCTCCACATGCTCGAGGCGAAACTTTTCCATTCCTCGAAGGACCCGAAAGCGCTGGGATCATGGCCGACCAGGGCTTCGCCAAGCAACGACTCCACATCAAGTTTCTCTCATGAACACTGATGGGAAGATCGACCGATGTACCTAAGACTCGGAAACGCTGGAGCTCTTGACCGCAGACCTAAGCTGTTGGTGGACCGGCCCCAGGCACCGTGAATGAGAATCTGGAATCGTCGACAGTGTAATTACACAGCGAGCTCGTATCAAGAACACCTTCAGGGACTTCATCGTTCCTTTATTTACAGGCATCCTTCGACTCGAAATATCGAATTTGAAATTTTCCAATAGCAGAACCGTAAGCTCAATTTCGACAGAAAAACAAATTGCCATCCGAGCCGGAACGACGTCTTGAAGGGGGTTGAAAAACCGATGAAACGATTGAAATTTCATTGCGATGAAAGTACGACTCGGGACAGCCTCCTCGACCACCTTTCATCAGTGTTATCAGATGCTTTCTTTCACTGCCGGGCAAACTCTCACTCTTCTTCATCCGCAATCGGGAATAGACACAATCCTTTGTTAAAGCTATATGCCATTGATGTTTTTTTCTCGCTCACACTAATGCTACATCATGATCTCTCGAGCATCAAGACACACGGAGTACAAAAGTATCATTGGGAATCATGTAGACTGTATCAAATCACCATTCATGACTAGACAAAGCATTCGATTCGGCTTGTATCAATAAATGAATTAGCTAAGGTACAGAATCAAATTATACATTCATATGTAAAATGGACTAGATCCTAGCATGGATGAATGTTCCGTTCGAAATGCACGTATACCCTCACTCCAGACCGTCGAGCGGAGGCGGAGCCGGCCAGTTTATGTCGTAATCGTCGCAGGGTGCCATTTCGGGAACAACGTGGCTTGGAGCGGCGAGGGGGGACGTGAATTGTTTCTTCGGGATAGCTGGGGGAACTTCAGGTTCCATTGCTACCGCGGAATCTGATGGACTCTTCATGAGCAAATCAGTCGCGTCGGTTTTCTCGGGTGAAGCTTCTGAAGGTCGAGGTTAGTGTTGTTAGTCGGATAAGAGTGAGACATCAGGAGCCGGGGATCTTAGTACAGTTACTATTCAAGCTTCTTTTAATCGAAACCACGGGTGACTCGGGAGGCAGAGGGGGCGAAATGACTCTCGGCAAAACTCGCGGACTGTCATACGTGGCGTCTGAAGGTTTTTCGACTCCGACACGGTGACGACGAAAAGCTGCATTCGGAGACAGCTCAGATTCGGCTCGCTTCTCAATCAGTTTATAAACGTACAGATTCTCCACCAGCTGGAAAACCAGAATACCTTTGATGTCAGGGTTCGAATCTCCATGAGACGAGGCTCCAACATCAGTTGGCTCAGTGTGGTTCTCCGGTTCCAGGTCGTCTCCGTCATTGTCTGTGTCCTCGGGATCGGAGTTTTCCGTAGGCTGAATGAATGTGCCGTCCTTCACGTCACTCTGCAAGGGCAACGTCCGCGTCGGAGTGTAAGTCGACTTCGGCACTCGATAAGAGATCGCAATTTACTGCGAACGCTAGCAAAGTCATTCGACGCTCCGAGTGAGATGAAGGGGTCTCGACTGGCTTTTTTAAAAGATAATCCGCTTATCCATTTCCCGACAGGATGATGATTCCCTCTGCCATAGAGGCCATGATTCTCGGATTCCGGAATTCAGACTCAGATTTTCGGAAAGTTCGCGAGTATTGTTCAAAACATCGTTGCAAGGTCTGACGAGAGCGTTTGTGGGAGAAAAAACGTTTCCTTCCCTCAGGTCACGAGGAACCCCCGGATACGATGATCCTGATCCTGAATCAAAGTTACAACGCGATCTCTCGCTCAGCGATTCGGGATCAATCCGGATAAAGTCAGGGCACAGAAATTCGTAGGAGTATTGCTCCCGGGATTGGTCTGGCTTGCTCGAGCGGCTCGTTTGGAAGTTTGAAGGGGAAAATCAAAAGCAGAACGGACCCGATCTGTCGCTCGTACAGGAGCCGCATGGATGCGGATTAACGCGAAGATCTTCCGTCTTCCGGTAGGTATCTCTTCAGCTGCACTGTTTTCTTGCTTTCCCAAAGTGAAAATTCCCGCTCCCTGGCGACCTACCTCATCATCGTCGTCTACATAGTCGTCTGAAGAATGTATGTCCGCCTGGATCACGGTGCCGTTCAAGCGCGTTTCAGAACCATCTTTTCTGGTCTTCATGGCTTTCTCTGCTCTCAAGGTGGCCCGCAAGGCCTCATCCTTCTCCGGAACGGCTGGAGCGACGATGTAGGATTGTCGATTGTCTTTCCCTTTAAGCATCGTGTAGCAATCTTTCGGTTGCTGTAATGACAGATGGCGAGTTCCGTAAGCTCGAGTCCCTCAGCTTGGCCACCGGTGGGCGAAGCTCTTTCCGGCGATTCAGCAACCCCCTTTCCCTGCCTGAGGTGGCACTACGAAGGCTCTCGAAAGCATCTGTGCTCAAAAAAAGTCCGGAAAATAGTTCTCACCGCCGCGGCGACGACATCCTCTTGGGGCACAGGCAACGACGTGTTGATGACGGCGTCGTAGGGCATGTCGTAGACTACCTCACCGTTCTTGTTCACGCCGTAATAACCGCCACCCTGGAGGCCGTAAAGCTTCTGCTGTAAAACGCAGTATTCGCGGTCGAGAATTCCGTAGGGGCTCTGCACCGTCTGGTATTGCATGACTTGGGCTCCTTGAGGATTGTTGAAGACGGCTGAGGACAAAATGCGTGAAACTGAGCCTGATGGAGCCTCTCGAAGCGAGCAGCTCGAATGCCGACCAGCGACATTCGGAGTATCTCTCCGGAAAGCCCCTGATCAATGCCGGAGAGGTCGTATACCTTCAGTACCGGGAGATTCCACCGCATCAAGGCCGCGCGCGGCTCTAATTGACTGAGTCACTGCCACTGAGCGGAATGATTAAGCCGCCCAATGAATTCCGACGAACAAGACGCCGAATAATAATTCGTTTTACCGGAGAATAACACTTTCTTCCGGACTATCTTCCGAACCGACTCCTATGTTATGCACCTGCGTTGGATTAGACCGATTCCCCATTTGTTCCAGAAGAAGAACGTGAGAATGAAATTAATCAGAGAGAATGAAACAACGATACTCCTGAGATATCTGATAATGACGTCTTGAGTCTAGACGCAAATCGGAGAGATGTTCTGACGCGGGCAGACTTGACTCTTCCTCGAGCACTCTCGAAATTGAGGAGAGGGCAATCGGTGTCAAAGGACCTGCCAATGTCTCTATAATTAGGGGAACTTACTGTACTTGGCGACGATCCTCTTGTAACAAGCATAAGCTGTCACGATGGAGGTTACGACTAGTGTCAGACAGAAAAGCAACGGGAGGAAAAGCCGAGGCTCATTGAGAACTGCCTCCATGTTCTCGGCGGTCAGAAAACCGCTGCGCGCCATGCGTATAGTGTTGACGTCTTTCTCTGCAGAGAGAAGAAAACAGATTCCAGACTCTCTGCAACAGGCGGATGGTTCCTATCTTTTCCTGCACATGTTCCTGCCCCATCCAATATGGGAATCCCATACGCGAGGGCCCTCCCCTATCAAGCGCTAATTATAAAGCCGAAGATGAGATTCGTACCTTCGGAGGCGGTGGTGAATGTCATCGGTTTCGAGGATTCCCCGCGGCCGTGGACACTGTATGAGGCGATGGTCAATTCATATTTCGTTGCTGCCGAGAGACCCTCGACATTGAGATGATGGGTGTGCGGCGGGAAGAACACTGATTTCCAGGTGTCCATCCCGCTTTCGCGGTAGCTTAGCACGAATTCTGTGTTGAGGAAAAGGAAGGAAAGTACCTGTTCACTGTGAGCTCAGAGCTCGTGCCGCTCGGAAATTCTCTGCTCTCGGAGATAGACGGATAGGATATCTTGTTTGGACGGATGGGAGAGTCTGGCCCGCAGCGAGAAACGCTGAGCGTCTCAGACTCAAATAACAAGGAAGAGATTCGGTTGACAGAGACCTGCTTGCTTCCTTCCTTCTTTCAACATAAGCAAGATTTCTGCCGTTTGTTTTCCCCTAGCGTCAGTAGACAGGTCTGCTCTTAAGACAGCCAGCCACTCCGAAATCTCTTCTTTTCCGTTTCGTGAGTCTGTCCTCGAGAAGCTGCGATGACAGCCTAAGAGCATCGCCATGAGCATTCGGAATGGGATAGTACGAACGGAATTCCCAGCGGTGCATTTCTTTCCGAATCAACTCGCTCTCGGCAGTTCACTTACGGGTGACATGATTGTTCGCGGTCTTCTCTCGGATCTGTACCGAAACCGAGGTGGCGGTTACTCTGGTCACGGCGAAATTCGGGGGACCAGGGAGGTCCTTGTCCAAAGTGTTCACGCTCAGATGATGGCTGAGCGGTCCAGATCCAGCCTGATTGTACGCCTGGATCGCGACGACGTATTTCGTATTCGGTTTCACTCCGCGGACGATCGCTTCTCCTGGTTCTCCCTGTACGCTCTCGAAAGTGAAGGGAACGTCAGCATCGAACTGTTTGTGGCCGATGCTATAACCGAGTATTTTTCCGTTCTGATGGTCTTCGGGTACAGGCTGAAAACGATCAAAGACATGGAGACGATTAATGGCGGGAACGAAACTAAACAATCGAGGGGTCGTACTGGAAGTTTGTGAAGACTTCGCGCGAATCGAGAAGGGTACTTATGAGTTTATGGTTTAATCGTGGCCGTTTCCACCGTTTATGAGGGGGTGCACCATTCTTCTATGCTTGGCGAGCTTCAAGGTTGCAGGTCAGTCAGCCGGTATGATAATAATGTATCAGGAATTAACTTTACCTTCCATTGAATTTTGAAGAACTTGGCTCCGATGCCTATGAGCTTCACGTCCAGAGGCGAGGCTGTCGGAATAGCTTCGCGAGTGGTGAACTTGAAATCCTGAGATTGATTTGACGAACCGACGCCATTCTCTGAGATCATGTAGCCGCTGTAAGTGGTTCCAGGATGCAGGTCGGCTATGTAGGCGCTCGTTTCTCCGTCCGCGATCGAGAGCACGGATAGTTTCCTCCCGCTCTTGGCAGCTTCACAACAATCAATCAATTAGCTAGCTAGCTCGGAATCGAGAACCGAGTCGTAGTTCTGACGTCCTAATAACTTATTCAATGGCGCTCTAATATTTCAATGATCCGCTAATCAACTCGAATTTCAGAAAAATCGGTGGGTACCGTTGTGGCTCTCTCTCCAATAGCGAACGATGTAATGATTGACGACTGAACGAGGCGGCTGCCAGTTCAGGCGAACCTGTTTACTCTCGATGTTGGTAACGCGGATCCCATACGGCGCCGACGGCGGCTCTATATTCATGGAGAGGATCGGGAAGTTTCAGAAATCATTATCAGAGCCGCAGCGCTAAAAGCTCTGGGGGCTTCCCGTCTTCCAATCATTCGACATCTTGGCACAAGCTGCTCACCGAGAACCTGGAGTTTGGTGAAAGATTCTGCTCTCCCGAAAGGATTGGATACTTTGCACATGTAGACGCCGGCGTCGCCGGGCGTCGTGTTGTAAATCATCAGTTCTGAACGGATTCCGCCGGGCATCACTCTCTGAATGATATCATACCTGCGTTCGGAGCAAATATATGTTAATGCAGTGGAACTCTTCGGGGTGAATTCTCGTGTTCGAGATAAACGCACGCGCATTCGTCGCATACAAACAAATGCGAGGCGCTGAACATCAGCGAGCTGAAGTGAGTTTCGTCAGAAACTCTCGCCGATGCGATTCCATGGAGAAATTGTGATCATTGCCTCATCTCGAGGATGATCCACATAATAATTGTCCGGGTTTCGAAGATCCTTGCAGTGTAATCCCTGCTTCTGACCGTGTATGAGAGATCTTCTTCCCAAGGGAATGCTCCAGAGGCGAGATACCGGAACAGGGGTCGATCCGGGTCCGGGTATCATAATAAGATTCGAGAGCTGCGGCTCGATACCGCTCCCCCGGAGGATGATCGGACTGAGCCAACGAGAAAATGAGATTGAGGTGTTCGATTGGGTCTGCAATTCATCCCCATAGCTGTCGCACATTCTCTGGCCCCGGCGAAGATTCACCGGATCCCGTGGGTTCGGTAAATGGATGGCGGCAGGTTCTTGGTCTGGATAAGTTCAAATGGGGAAGTCCAGAAAATTCGTGCGAGCTCATGATTGCGACAAATTCGACGCTATGGACTCCTATTTCCAGCGACTTTTGCTGCTCTGCAGGAGCCGTTCCGGCGGATCTTTCAACAGACAGCTCATGGGTATCAGCTACGGCTCGATGGGTCAGCGACCGAGCATCGAACGGTTGACTCTCTTCGCGCGCGTCGCTAATTGGCGATTCTGGAGGGAGATTCAGACGATTCCCGTCACATGACGTAAATCAAGTAGGTATAGTAATACAGCCAGTGAAAGTAGAGCAGGAGAGCATGTCCCTCACGAGCGCCGCATACATATCGATCACGGCGCGGGTGCATCTCACAGCTCATGACAGTATTCCGCTCTTCCCTAACAGGTAGAATGATCTTGTCCTCATTGGCGATCGATTCCAGGATCAGCTCCGATCCGGGAACTTACCCGACGACATATGCATTTTTATAAAGTCGCTCGTCCTTGCTCCAGATCAATGTCATCGGAGAATCGCCGGTCGCCTCGCAGCGCATTCGAACGCTGTGTCCTTTCCGAATCGTCGCCGTTTCGTCATGCTCGATTATAGTAGGCGGAGCTGTGGATCCCCGAGAAAATCACCGTCGATCAGTCTGGAGAAACAGGATGACGAACTCCTATATGTTCACAGGGACAGTACGGATAAGAAGCCTACCGCTTATGGTCAGTCGCAGAGTTTGATGGATTTTCCCGAGCTTGTTGTCCGCCTCACAGCGATACATTCCGGCGTCTTCGACGTTGGACATGGATATCACAAGAGTTCCTGGGAATTGAAGATCATGCTCGGTTAAATGTAGAGGTTCGAGCCCGTTCGCCGTGCTTATTCGATCGGCGTACCGTTCCGGTGGAGTTTAATTCGATCGGACTCTCGAACTGGGACGAAGTCAACTTTCTTCTCCCGTCGGAACCACTGGACGGCGGGTTGCGGATATCCGCTGGCCGCGCAGTGAAGGAACACTTTAGAAGTTGTAGGAGCCGTGGTGTCTGAAGGCGTCAGAGACCACGAAGGCGGCGCTGTAAGAGCAGGCATTCATTATGATGCTCCTGCGTGAAATTCTTCGAATTTCAGGAATTATATTAGCACGGGGGCTTCGGAGCTCTCGGGATCGTTTGCGGTTCGGAACTCGGATGCGACGCTCACCCTCGACAAAAACTGGCACAGTATAGCTGTCTGATCCTAGATTGTTGCTGGCTGTGCAGGTGTAGTTGCCTATGTGACTCCTCTCGATGCGCTCTATTACGAGAATGCTTTTACCGTTCAAATCCACCAAATTATAGCCGTCTTGGCCGGCGCGCACCGGTCGGTTGTCCTTGTACCTAGAATTCAGGGGGAAATGTTCTCTTGAGCCTGGAGATAGAATGGTAGATTGTTCGGATTGAATGCCGACACTCCTTCACGACAACCTTTCGTTCCGTGTCGTGACCTCTTGCAGAAATCCTCTCACCATGTAAATGTTATCGGTTGTGTGCCTCGTCTCAGGGAACACATGATGTCCGCCTTATCGCCCATTCCTAGGGCGTTATCAATTTGAATTTTCTGCAGTTCCGGTGATTCTGGAAGCGAAATTTCCAGGAACGTTAGGTATCCTATTCACACGCTCTTTCTTCTAGGAACTTTCTTCTAGTCGACGCGACGCCGGCGCCGGTCAATGTGGACGTGCTACGGATCGCGTAAGCCGAAGATCCCGTCTTATCAGCGCCAGGAGCACGTGCCGCCATTGGGTCAGCATCCGACGTCTCGGATGAGCGACACAACGTCATTTCTGTATGTTCCGAAAAGCGTCGTCACAGTCCCCGCCCATCCGCCAAGCGTGAATTTCCGTCAAGTCGCCACCCTTTCGGATCATGTGAGCGATCAATGATGGTCTGCATTGAGCGCACCCAGAAATCTGATCCAGCCCCTTGGCGGGACGAATGACGAGCGACTCTTGGTGACGCGAAAATTTTGGCATCCACCACTAGGAATCCACTGAGGCCCACTCTGTTGTCCGCTGTAGTCATCATGAGTCAGAGAGTGTCCGCTACGCGAGCTTGCCTACCGCCGGGTCGACGTCAATGCGGCGACCGGGAGCTGTATTGTAGTCGAGCCGAGAATCTCGGCGCAGCCAAAAAGAAGGTGAAGCTCGGAGGAAACACTCAGCAGGGGAGTCATCACAGAGAGAACCGGATTGGTACTTTGGTCTCTGGGATTCTCTCAGGGCGTCGTGTCGGCTTCCGTTCGTGCGCGAATCGTGATGTTCGCGACTCACGTCCGGAAAGACCTCAGACCTTATCGGGAATTTCGCTGTGAGAGAAAGAAAACTCGAACGGAAGTAATTTTTCTCGGGACGGATCCTGTTTTAAGGGGGGCCTCGATTCGGAGAAACATCAGAAATGCTCCAGAGCATACCTTGACCACCGGTTGCTGTAGCGAACACGCACAAGCTGGCTAGGACTACGTGCGGGGAGATACGTAGGCACTTCATGGTGGAGATTCGTCGGTGGTTCTACATCAAAAAGTAGCCTCGCTTTACTCAGAGCTATGCTCACTTCTCCTAGCAGCTCCTGGGACTCCAGCGCTGGGTGGGGAGATCAGGGAGGGTGGAAAGGGACCCCGACTCGAAAAGAGAGGGAGGGCTATCGCCGCCTCGACAGAGCTCGAAAATGACTCCTTCATAATGAATTTATTATCGGACACTCGAGCGCCCCAATTTCTCTTAGATATTCGATGAGTGTACACAATTTCATGAAACCGAGATTTTCTTTTTCCTGCACCCCGTGCGAAGCTCTCAGAGGCGAGAATTCAATTGAAGCTTCCGTGATACCGATGCCGGTAGACTCGAAGTACGGGGGGAGAGGGTGAGAGTGAGAGTGTTGTGGAGCCGATTTCAAAAAGTGAGGATCACGCGCTGTCTAGGCCGGAACGAGCTCCGAGTTTGCAGTCGATCCCGGGTTGACAGATCTAGCCTTTAGAGCGGCTAAAGGAGATATCTCTATGGTGGAAATGTTGTTCTCTCGTAGGAGTAGTTTCGAAGCCGCCGGGCAACGACGCCACTCGCCCGGGAGGCGGCGCTGCCGGAGAAATATGCAGGTACTCGGCCTTGATCCTCCTGGGTACATTTGCTCTATGGATCCGTCCGCGGAAGCAACGTGAATAACAGTACCCGGGACATTAAACCTTGGCTGTGTGGTTCAGCCCGAAAAAATTTTAGGAGTAGTTTCGAGAATGTAATGGTTTTTCATAGCCATCTGGTTTTGGGTAGTTGCTTGGGGCACGCATTGGAAGCTGAACTCTGCTAACGACATTGAATACTGCGTGCCTCTCCGTAGCATAGACCATTTGATTGAATCATGCGAGGAGGTCACTATACTTCACCAACAATCATTACCTTCTCTGAAGTTGCCCGGCAAATTGCTAAAACTCTCACTAAAGGGGTTCCTGGAAACTCCGCAATTGATCAATAATTACGATAGTGTCTATGAACCTCTACAGCGGGAGCGCTGAGCACGTCGGAGCGAGAACTCGATAGCATTTCGATGAAAATAAATGGAAGATTTATTTTTAATGGATCGAGGAATCCGTCCATGAGAAATGAGGTTCTCGAACGAGAAAGCGAAAGAGTCGAACGAGAAAAATCTCTGACTGCTTCGCTAGGGATGAACTTGATTCCACCAATCACATTTATTCTGTATTCGAGACCGTGACGCCTCGGATGCCTGAATCAATGGCCGGACACACTCTCGAGCGATATTTTCCAGGGGCGACTGATGATGAATAGAAAATTGAAACACACGTATGAACTCTAGGCTACAAGTTATTAAGTCCATTCGCCGAGCATCGCTGACCTTGTCATAGAGACCTTCCCTTTTATGGGGAATTCCGGTTCGTCAGTCTCGGCGTGATGGGAAGCCCACCATTCACAGCTTCGCCCACATTTTCTGATTCACTCACGTCATTCCTTGAGAGAGGGGTTCCTCGGTTGATGAGATCCTATCCCTTCTACCTCTCTACACGGTTTCGTTTCCTCTTCGAGTTCAATGAATGCTAAAAAATAGAGCTAAATGCGGGCCAGGGTTTTCATTTACAGTATCAAAGCCCGAGTTCCGTTCACCGGAGCTTCTTCAGAAGCGATTTGCGCCTCGCCGTCGACGCAGTCACCCGTCCACGGTACGATTCTCCTGGAAACAAAGGATCCCGAATCATGTGCCTGGTGAGATATTCAGCGATCGGAAGCGTTCCTGGTGAAAATTTCGCCACTAATAAGGAAGTCGAAGACTTTCAATAATGAGTGGACTCCCTACACGCCTTGTTATCCAAACATTTTCCACCCCTCACGAACCGATCGAGCTAATTGATGATGCTGCTAGAGGTCTACCTCACAGATCGCATCGCCTCTCATTTACGGTCAATAGCTATCGCGATTCCCCGAAGCCTGGACCTTCCACGGGAGTGGATACTCGTCAGAAATTTGCCTCGGAGCCAATCCAGAAATCTCTTAATGACAAGCGAGAGGCCAGCGATAAGCGAACATGAATCGACAGCAGACGCGCTCATCTCCTGCGGGTTCCCCCTGCTCCGACGGGGGCGCCAACGAATAAGGTAAATCCGGGATCATCATTCTCATGAATTTCCGGTGAGTTTTTCACCTTCCATCTCCGAAGGCAGGAACGTCGAGGATCTTAATGCATATTATAAGCATAACTTGGCGAAATGCATCTATCGCAGCCCAGATCGACAAGCGAGGAATCATATCTGAGGAACCACATGCCATTCAGGACCAAAACTTCAGGCATCGGAATTCGAAACTCCTGTTGGAGTTCGGAGTGTTCTGCTCCGTCGTACACTAGTAGCGTCGACGAGCAACTCTCACTGTACGACTCACGTCACGGGAAGTGTATTGATAGATTGAATTGATGAACGTTTGGCTGATTGTCAAGGTGAAACGAAAGATCGGCGACCCTACTTACGCCGTTGATCTAAGCCTTCCTCGGCCGGGTCTGTAAACTATGGGCCCGGGCACCACAGAAATCAGGACTGGCTTGGGGGACTTAGTTTCGCGGAGTTCACTCCGCGACGTCTCTTCATTGTTCGCCTGTGAGTCACCTGCTTCAGGAATCAAGAAATGTTTCCCCTCTTCATACACCAGGCCGAGTGGCGCGAAGTCTCCCTTGAAAGCGCTGATCAAACTAAAAGTCAACGCGACCACGCCACCTGCGGAAGTAAAGCTCAGCGGGTGAGATCGACCCGCTCATGATCATTCCCTGACGGCGAGCTATGTATATCGCTCACAGCATCGAATCGTACTAGCTGTGAGCTCCAACACGACTGGAGACATCCCTCACCATGAGCACACCCCACGTCTTTTTGCTGATGACGGTCACAAGGGACCCTTCTGTGCTTGAGACACTCCTGATTGATGTATTCGGCAACCAGGGACCATCCCTTCGGGCCGACATTCCCCAGAAGGTTATTAACCGCGAAATGGATCAGGCCGATCAGTTTCTCAACGGGCTCAACGACAATGGAAATCATCGATCCTTCCTCTTCTGTAGAAAGCATTGAGAGTTTTCCACCTCATCTCAGACGAGGAAATTCATGATTGGGTGGCACGGCAGAATCACTCACCGGTCATGGTCCTAAACATATCCCGTAGGATCTCTACCTTGGCGGATTTAGCGAAAATGAGGATTCTCCCCGTTGAGCATTGCACACAAGGACAGAATTGACTCACTTCAGTCACAATCTCTGAGTCGGGAAACTCGACGACGGAAGCTGCGGGTCGAGATTAAGACAACAGATATGATCATGCAGGCTTGTCGGTTATTTTTTCCTGGCATTCAAAAACTCGACCGTCTTTGACAACCCTTGATGATTGATCATTGAATATCGCCGTCTGAGCAAGGCCGATCTGTGATTCGGAGTACAGCGAGAGGCGTGGAAACTCACATTGCAGGTTGTCGGCAACTCTCAGCTTCCTCCCGTAGTTTCCAGAGTGACTTCCGGCCTGAGGTACTCGATGAAGGCTCAGGAATTTCCTGACACCGTCTCGCAGGCTGAAATTGGCCAGGGCGATTTCCCCCTCGCTTGAAGCCTGAGAATCGATAGGCTCCGTTCATTGCACAGAATCTTCAAGAGTCCAAGATCAGCTATTCGCAGAGCTGTTTCGACCCATGTCGATGGCATTTTTCGCGGATAATGAATAATGAGGATACGAGGTTTCGTGTGGTGAAGATTTCATAGAAAGAATATCTCCTGAAATGATTACCGTCGTCTCCGATGTATCGGCCAGGATGAAAGGTTGCTCCAACACGTCTCCATATCCCGACCTTCTGGAGGGCTCGACTTTTGATTTCCTCTTGAGCGGAGAGGATTTCAGAGGCGCTTCGTATCGAATGGATGGAGCCTGAACTTGATCCTCTTTCGAGAGAAGTCGGTAGCGCTCCCGCTGCTCAACGGACAGAGTTGGCCACTCATTGTGGGCCAGTTCCTTGACTTCGGTGAAGCTGAGATTCCGCGCTCCTCGTCTGTGGACGAACATGTGTGAGCGAGCGATTCTTGCTGACAATGAGACTAAATCGGAACTCATGGTTTCACATATCGGCCGGGATAGAATCGACATCAATAAACGAATAAATAGTTTGCTCTTCGCTGTACGTTCGCTTTTGGGTGTAATCTACCGAGCAGCGGCGAAATGTTCCGTACGCCGCGACCTCTTCTGCGTGAGTTGTTCACATGGGTTTCGAAGCTAAGTTGTGGCGTGCTCGTGACTCGTGAGCTAAAGATGGTAGAGAGCATGCCTTGCGTATCAGTCATGAGAGTACAGTTCCTCAGAGGAGCTAAGGTCTTTCGAGACATAGAACTCGAGTCATCCAAATGAGCCGGGAGAGGATCAAGAGTCTCCCCTGGACGCAGCCGAGCTTTGCCTCCAGGCTTAATTCTTCGCCACTCTCGGGGAAAAGTACACGTCGAGGCTCGAAGCCTTGGGCTCGTACGAGCATTTTTCAATCGACGCGGAATGAGACTTGTCGAGAGAAAGACGAGCTCGCTTGAGCGAGACATCCGAACCCCCGGGTCGAACAGGAATCTCGTCACGAAAGGGAAGTAGCAAATTCATCCCCAGCGAGGGAGTCGTTGAGTCCATGCTTGGTCGTTCCAATCTCGAGAATATTCATCATTGTAGGTATCGCATCTCCTGCGAGCCTCTAGAAGAGATGAGTTACGCTGAATTTCAGGAAGAGGAAACGAAGCCGGTGTAGTCTCCGAAAAGTTCCCCCACGGCGGAGAGCTCCCACTACGGAAACGTCTCCTCTCCCGCCGATGATTAAGACTACCGGCGACGAATCCTCGGATCCGATTGTTAATACTTCGAAAGCAATTACTATGACGAGGACCCTTCCCTCTGACCCTGATAGAAAATGTATCGAAGAGGTGAAAGGGTGTCGCTCATTCAAGAGAAAACTGGGACGTTCCTCACTCCTTGTCAAAAAGATACCGCAGAGGTTCCCATAAGGGAAGGTCTTCACTCTCATCGAGATGACTGGTGGCGGTTAGAAGCTGCGGCACATACACTTACTTGAGCGTCTCATTCAACTCTTCGACGAAAATCCAGAATGGGGCTTTTCGTCCCATTATTCGACGAAATTTCTCTCGACGCCTTTCGCTGAGAAGAGCCACAAGGTCACTCCCGGAGCTTGGATTCTCCACCGACAGAGCGTCACGTCAGCTGGAAGCGCTGAGAGGAATGGCGACGGAGAGTGAGACGCGACCGGTCTCGCGCCGAAATTTCAAAGCACGACGTTTGAAATTTGAAACTCGCGACTTTACACTTCACTGATCTGTTCTTCAGAGAGTGTGACGCGACCGATCATCGCCAACGGTTTTGTTCTCTCTTCGCGAGTGATGCGAGCGGGACACGTGTCCGGGTAATTTTTGAACGAGCACCAGTAGTAGGTTCCGTGTTTCTTGCCACTCTCGATGGTATCTCACCCCGCGATTTCCCTTTCGAGAAGTCGTCCGCTGAAATTCCGACGTGAGGGACGAGAGATTAGGTTATTCTCCCGGTCAAGCCATGAGACTCCCGTCCACCTTCTCGGACGATTCAGATGTCACTTCGTCGATTGCAACGTTCCCTCGAAGCTTCAGTGCAAGACTGTCCATGCGAGATTCCCCCCCGATTAAGAGATGTTTGTCTAGGTTCTCATTTCCGAACGCTCGACACGAAAACCCTTGGTGGTCCTTCGAGGCAAACGTCTCCGCGCTGTTCAGCCCGTTTCCATGTTTTCACATCGTGCCATACAGATCATGATGCTGTACATCGTCGCGAAGTTAGGATTTTGAAGTTCATATACACACATACGAGGCTCCATGTAGAGGGAGAGACATTCCAACAGCGTTCGCGGGCTCTCCGACTGGATAGACAAACTTATTCCCTACTAGCGTGCCCGGCCGCGCTTCGCCGCGGGGAAAGTAATGATAGCATACAACACGCATAGGAGAAAACAGGCTTCTCTCTTAGAATTCAGGGATGGAATGATATTTGATTTAATTTATTTCGGTGATGACGACTCAGTAGCCAACTCCGAATGGCTGAATATCTGTTCAGCCCCACCTGTCGACCACCACTCGAGTAATTGATCCCGATACTTGTCATGTTCCTTGTCTACAGCCACCATTGTTGTATTTGAAGTACTTGTCAGTGTTCGTTCCCCGGCCCACTCCCTCGTTTGCAAATTGTGGAAGGTCAGACACGATCCTTCCATGTTATCAACCATACCGGTAAAATCTTGCCAGAGGCAGAGATTCACCATTCTGAGGGAGTTGTCTACCAATGTCACATTTTGGCGAGTTCGGGGTCTCGCGTCTCGGCAGTCAACGGTTTGCGCTGGTTCAACATCGTATACAATGGCTAAAACATTTACGAAATCGTTTCCATTCCTCTCGAGGAGCTCTACGATAGGCGTAAGATCCGTCTTCAGTTCAGGTATGATAGGCGTTATCGATTTCCCTTATCTTGCTTAACTTGAAAGAAAGATCTCTTATATCATCGGCTGTGCCGGTCATATGTCATATGTTTGTGGAGATCCGCAGACGCGTACTCACCTTGGTGAGTTGCACCTCCAAGTCGTGGTTGGCGTTTTTGAATTTCACATTCACAGGCTTTACTCGAAAGATGGTGATCTGGTAACATTTACCGATCTCGATACGGTCGTAGAAGAGGACGGCGATATCGCCAGATGCTATCACGCTAATTTCTCCCGAGGCGTCGCAAATGATAAACGTGAATAATTTTGAGTCGTTCTTGTTTTGTTGGAAGGTTTTCATCACACTTTTCGACCTAACTCTCCCTTCAATCATTCCTCCTGTCTCTCCTACCGTGATATCTTTCATCAATCTGGGAGCTTTCTTCGGAGGTTCGTGTCGAGTGTCTGTGAGAATATACGATTATGACGGGGTCATATCTTTTCCTATATTAACTGAATGGGTATCGCTCTACTCAATGATATGCTCACTGATAACCTCATGATAGCCTCATTGAGTAGAATGGAGATCAATCATTAACAACCAACCCATTTTTCTCCTGGTTGGTTTTGACGACACGATTTGTTTCGTCGTAAGCATGTTTCCCTGTCGTTTTTCAGCCATCGTAGTCTGTGAGCCTCTCGTGTCTTCTTAGCGGCTGTGTTAGCACCGTTGTTTTTCGGACTAAGTAAGTGCTATTCTGATCGAGTTTGCTGTCTTTTCTGCTATTTCTCGCGTCGAGTTGGAAGCAACGATTTGATTAGACGAAAGGGTGATCTGTAGGCCATTCGGTGAAGAGCTCTTTATCATTCTTGAGGACCAGGAACTGGCCGAGCAACATGTGGGCTTTGTAGAAACGATGTGTTTCGGCGATCCTTTGTAATCCATCGTTTCTCCGCTGCAGAACAATGTCTCGAGATTCGAATTCTTCGCCCACCATAACTATCGCTACCTCCTCTATTGTAGGTGCGTTGTATCGTCTCTCAAGTTGGTTAGTGGGTGTCTTGTCAGCTCGTATGACAACAGGGAAATCATCAGAAGGCATTTTTCCGAGAGCGAGTCGAAATAGCCGGACCCGCTCGTTGTGTTCATGAAAGAAAGTCTGTAATTCGGCGACTATGCTCCGCTTAGTTCCTGACTTGAATCGGCATCGCTGCTCGACTTCTACTTCGACAGCTCCCATGAAGTAAATCTGAAGGAACTTATGGTCGTCGCCTGCAACGGGTAGTAACGATCCCGCAAGATGGTATACCTGACCCTGCACCTTGAAAGTCGGCATATAATTCTCCCGGATGATTTCGGTCGCACCGAACGAAGTCATTTGGAAGCACGAGTTATACTTGCGTATGTTTCCCAAAAAATGCCTCGCTTCGATTGGCTGGTCAGAGACCTGAGAGAACAACGGTTCAGGTGGTGAAGGTAAGCGCGGTAAGTCGACTTTTCCGCCCGCGCAGCGCATTCCCGGTGCTTCCTTTGGGAATTTGAGCGCTCGACAGAATCGGTAAACCCCCGTCATTGAGCCTATACCTACATCCGGATGGAGATCGTAATCATACGTCGGGTCATAATTGAAAGCCGCGCGTCTTAGATCACAATGTTCTGATCGTCGGGTCGCGGTCCTGTGCTGAGAAATCGCTTTGGACCTCACTTCAGAGGCACGGGAGCGGTCGTTTATCTGTCTCTCTAGTCTTTGCTCTGCTATCGCCTCAGACCGCGCTCGACGGTAGCGTACTCGCTGACTTTGGAGCCTTGCCTCTCGCTCAATATCAGTTTCAAGGGCGAGATCCGCTTTTCTTTTGCAGGCTCGGGTAAGGTAAGGGTATGCAAGCAATAGATGATGAGTACTGATGACATCATAGAAGCAGCTTTGCATTTTGTGAAAAATAACGATTACTGGAGAAACACGTAAATTTCACGGAAAACATGCGGTTAAGCACTTAGAAAAGTATAACTCGACCTCACTGGAGTTATTGCGCATCGATCGGGAAAATTTGGGGTCCTTTCGTAGGTGGAGAGCGCTAAAAAGTGGTCCGGTGTCAGACAGACATAGCGCTTTTATTATATAGGGGGATAGGGGGATATTTCTCGAACCGAGCGCTCTCGACGGATGCGGCGTAAGTTTTCCTTTCCGAGCGTGCTCTAGTGGGTGGATACTGGATACCCGATACGTGGTTGGCTGTTGCAGTTCAGACAGATGCCTGTCTTAGAGAAAAGGCAGAACAGAGTGAGAGGGTGGAGAGGCAGACCAAGGTGTTGATTCGTCGTTTCTGAACGTGGCGTGACAGGCTTGCCGTATCGGCTTTCAGCGCGGCAACTCATGCACCCGAAATTCCAGATCGAGCAACCACTGAGGATTGAGAGGCACACTCCGCTGACCTCCCTTGAGAAGATCGAGGCAATTTCGCTGAAGAGGGAGTCGGCTTCGACGGATGAGGAAAAGCGCATATGGAACCTGCGGAGATTCTAGGAGGAGCGAGTTCGTATTCCAAGCCGGAGCAATCGGTGGCATATCGGGCGCGGAGTATTCTGTCCAGACGCTGCAGGAAGTGAAATTGTGCGAGCGAGAGGGCAGCCCGTCAGGAGCTTTCCAAGCGACAGGTGTTGACCATTCCTGGGACCTCCCGGAAGAGCGTCCTCAGTGATATCTTCTACAAGTACTGTCGTATAGGAGTCTCAGCTAGTTGGGAAAAGGAACCTCGAGCGAGAATGCTTGTCGGAGCAGGATTCTCCGAATCCGATCGCTGGTCGACAGTGGACGGAATTATCTGCGGCAATCCTTCTGAGCCCAATGTAGGATGAAAAGGAATGTTTCCCTTGGACTGAGTCAACATACATTCGCCTTACGTCCTGCAAGCGGAGAAACCGAATCCGGTCCAGCGGTCGAGCGGCTTCAGTCGAGTCGTTTCGGTCAAACGGCTGCAGCAGCGTCGATTCAGTCAAGCGCTCCCGGTCCTATCGATTCGGTCAAACGCTCCCGGTCCTATCGATTCGGTCGAACGGCTTGTGATCCGCTGGGTTCGTTACGCCCTCCATCCCCCTTCTCGGAGGGACACACACCGAACGGACGCCGAAATTCCCGTAGGGTCTTCCAATCGCAGCCGCGTTGACTTTCCGCGCTGCTTGATATCCGCTCATCCAGCGGGGGCTCTGTTTCTCCTTTGCGGGACCAGCGCCAAGACTTCCGGACTTTCTGACTCGAGTTCACTTCGAGTTCGGGCGGAGCATCTCCTTCTAAGATGAGATTATGGCCGACTCTGGTCGGTACGTAGGATTGATCCGGCTCTTCGGGGAAGCCCCTCGGAAGAATCCATGATCCATCATGAGCCAATGCTATCGTCAGCGGCCGAATTCCATCGGAGGATCTCCTCAAAGCGACCATGGCGTATGGTCAAGATTTTTCTCCCGATTTCATACCTGCTCTCCTCGCACAGGCTCCCTTGGACCGAGCAGTACGAGTCCACCCGTCAACATTGCGAATGATCTTGAGTGAATTTTGGGAGCAAAGGAGGCGCCTCCAACAGAGTTGGCGGTCCATCCACCCGTGATAATTTACGTTTGCATCCCGACGTAATGAACGCGTCATTAACAAGTTCTGGCAGAATCAAAGATCCCGCGATGAGGTCCATTAAGACATCTGCTGATTCGACCCGTTCTGTAGGAAAATGAAAATCAATTAGCGGAAGAGCACATATCAGCAGGAAATGTCTACTACCCAC